GCCAGAAGCGGAAAGGAGGAACTACAAGGCTCCTTCAGCAGTCGTTTGACTGGACGCGGCTGGCGTCACAGCAAGCTTTGATTGAGCTCTTCCTGATCCAGGGCGTGGTGGACTGTGCTCAGCGCATTGCGCGAGAAGAGGGCGTCGGAGCCCCAGCGATGGCAGGCTAGTCACGGCTAGTCATCTTCTGCAAATCTTGGCCTGGTCCTCACCGAGGTCACTGCCTTTTGGCGTGGCAGCATGCCCTTCGTCACGCGCGCCTGCTTGGTCGGCGCAACGCAGGTGCACCCACACCGACACCGATGCAACTGGAGCTTGCCCATGCTTGCCCCATGTCACATTGACAATGTCCTTTGGCTTTCGAGAGCACTTTCCAGCGACTTAGAGAGCTGGTTGCCGAGAATGTCCTTGAAGTTTGGAGATGCAACCCGCGCCGCGATCACATAGCTGGCGGGCCCCAGGCAGACAGAGCCACAGCAGGAGACAGTTTGCCATTTCATTCCTGTATCACATGAGCGCATCCCCAACCACGAAGTAAGCAGCACACAGTCGGTACTCCATGATGGGTAGCGCCAAGTTAGGGGGCATGGTAATTGATTCAACTCACAAGAGATGTGCTGCTGCCGGTTTGCCGCCAGCGTGAGTAACAGTACAAATACAGGCACACACAGCATGTGTGATTCGCCGCTATGCGGTTAGGCAACCAAAGGTGCGCCGAGTGAGCATGTGTCCGCAATCATGAAGTCTGGTGTGTTTAGCTGCTCGTTGAAGACATGGGCTCCAGGACATCACAGTCTCAAAAAAGATGAGAGTCATGATGTGGCTTCACAAGTCTTCGTCAATCGCCATGCATTTTATTCATAACACGCCACCTTCAACAGGCACAAGTTCCACAACTACAGAAGGTACGGCTAGCTCTGTATTTGTCAGTTTCAGCCATGAGGGCTTCCGAGATACACGATGCCCAGCTGAAGGAATCGACATGGAGACCCGGCACCTGTCCAGTCAGCCAAAGTCTCCCCGTCTACAGCCAATCGCTTCTGAACTTCAAAGACCACCCCCGTAGTATTCCCAAAGCAGCGGCCAAGGCGCCCACCATTGGTGCGTTTGCTTACATCCCTCCACAGCGTGGCCGGAGCCCCTCACGGCTCAGTGATGCCTCGACTGAGGAGATGAGTGTTGGGAAAGTCCTGACTGCGCGCTCGTCCTCCGAACCTTCCCTGGTTGTCCGCCCAGAAAAGACCAAGATGCATGTGCAGCAAGAACTGCAAGACGTACAGGCGCAGGTCCTCCAGGACTGTGCGGTAACACCCCGACGCTCCGAGCAGCGCGTGCAAACCCACATTTGTCTTCAAGACTCCGACGATGACAAGTGCTCGGCACGCTCCTCCGCAGCTGAGGAGGCCTGCAAGCAAGAAAAGCGCATGACATACGTCTGCCTTGATGAGAAGGACCCGAGAGAATGCACGCCAAAGCAGACGGGCCGAGGCGACCGGAAGATGGATGCCCAGCAGGATGCGTTCAAGCGCACTGAGCCTCGCGTGAAATGCTGGCTAAGTCATGTGATACCTCTTTGGCAGCGTAGTGGCTCCTCTCCAGAGCTTGGCAAAACGTCCAGCCATGCCCATGCCAGTCCGTTGCCAGAGGCCAGCAAAGCGAGAACTTATGCATCCAACTTTACACGGGCCAAACTGAGCTCCCTGAACACAGCGAAAGGTGCGCTGCGACATGCATTGAACCCCTGCAGGGCTTTGACTGCATCCGCTCCTGCCAAAAATGCAAGGCAACCTGCCAAGGCCTCCAAAGAAGGGCCGAAGCCGAAGCCAAAGCCAAAGCTTGCCGCTCGGACTCGCCCAGCCTCAGCAGGCTGCCAGGCCTCTTGGCAGTTGCTGAGAGATGAAAACGCCGCACTTCAGGCCAGGAAGCAAGATCCTGAAAACCCTTCAAACCCCCTGGCCCTAAACTCTTCAAGCACCTTCAGGCAGAGCTTGCGAGGGCCACTGAAGTCCTGGGGGAGCTCGAGCGTTTGAAAGCAGCGGATGCACAGCAGCCACTCGGCTAACAGAGGAGGGTTTGAGCTCTTTGATGGTAAATGTGGGCAGGGGGCTGATGCTTGGTGAGGGCGCTCGAGCTGAATGAGCTTGCAGACTCTTGAAAATAATGAGTAGTCAACTTGGGCTGTGGCCCTCATACCTGCGAGAACTTTGTAGTGAAGCTATCACACGGGCCTCTGGGTCTGAAACGATGTTCCATAGTCTGCAGACTTCGTAACGCCTCCAAGCTGACTGGGCCCCCCCTCTGCATTCTTGTTCCATAGACGCCCTTTTTAAGGCTTGGAGACCTGGAGGCAAGACGTCAGGACCTGCTTCTTGATGCTTGGGGGTCCGGGCAACTCTGCAAAGAACCACTTGACAGAGGCCCCATGCAGCAGTGTACCTATCTTTTTTTCAAAAGCCCGACTCTTTGCACTTCAGCTTGGCTCTGAGAGGAGCTTCAGCAGCTATCCCTCAGGGCACGCTTTGCCTTGGGCGAGGAGTCGATTTCTCGGTTGCAACGGAGACGTTCTAGCCGGCATGCTATTGGCATGTCAATGTCATGAACTGTGGAGTCTACTGATACTGTCACATCTCTTCTGCTGTGTAGGAGGATGGCCTCACCGCACACCTGCGCAAGATTGCCACCAACGCGGCCGAGGTTTCTGGCCCAGCTGAGTCCTTCTTTGGCTTGCCATCAAAGGTTTTGAAAGCAGCTCCGCATGTAAGTTGCCCCAACCAACTGTGAGAAGGGCACAGTGCAATCAGCGATTAGTGTTGTACCCAGGTCCGGCAATCTTTGGATGCTGTGCAGCAGAACTGGCAGCAGCAAGGCTTAAGTTGCACTACCAGGCCTGAGCATGGGCAGAATATGGATCATGATTTCGGTGACTAATTAATTGAACCCCGTGCAATCTTGCTTTGGGCTGCTCCTGTGCAAGGCTAGACAGCAATGCCCCCATGCGCGCTGGAATGAGAGCTGCGCAGCATCATCGAAAATACTTCGAGTGCATGGCGCTGTCAAAGCGCCGAGCCTGAGATTGCTTCACACCAGCGAGTGTGATGCCTGCATTGTTCTGAATTCAGAGTTGGCATACGGCGTCGCCCGAAGGCGCGCGACAGGAATCAACTGTCTTGCTATCACCATGACAGCCGCTAGCTGCTTCAAGAAGCCTGTTTGATTCTAGGAACAGGCCAGCCCCTTTCACAGGCGTCTGTCATGGATGGGCGTTTTCAATTTCAGTTGTCTCTAGATACAGACTTTAGATGCTCCACTCAGCTTCCTGAGTCGTCAAAATCTTTACCCAAGATTGTACATTTCTACTGATCAGACTCTAGCGACTCTTGTCCAAAGATCTACTTTGAGAGAGATGTGGAAGCAGGCTCAGCTCAGCCATCGTTCCCGGCAATTTGCCTGGAGGAATTCTTCTGGGAGTAGTTGCCATGCAGATAAGTTGCCCTCAAAGCGCGACGAAAAGGCTTTCAGCCGCGCATTTTAAAATTTTTCGTGCGCCATTCCGAAATGCTCCAGGCATCATGGCCCGCACGATCACAACCCCAAGCAGCAGGGGAGTGTGGCCGATGCCCCAAGCACACTGAACCTCAAATCTTGCTTGCTCTTGGGAAATTCCACGGAGAAGAGGTTCAGCACATAGTCAAGTCTCAGGAGTCTTTTGGAACTGAATGTCACGATGTACTGCCGAGGCAGGGCCAGCGTGTCAACGTCCCTCCCAGATGGTCGGCGCCGTACGAAGAGGCCTGGGGTAAGGGAGCGTAAGGCTTGGAGGCTGCAAGAGGTACGTCTAAAATGGCATTCGAGTGCTGAACTTCACGCCAAAATAAAATGGCCCAACAAACGACGGCGGCTGCGGCGACGAGATTCTCGAAACGCAAAATGCAATCGCAGAGCCGTCGGAAAAGGCCAATCAGAGAGCTAAAAGGAGGTCCAAGCAGCAGCCGACAAGAGGATGTGGAAGCGCCAAGCCAAGAAGGAAGGATGACAACGAAGGCCCGGAGGCATCATGTGAGGCGCAGGTCGACTGCATAGCTCTTGACGCAAAGCACCAGATGTGAACTCATGCTTCCGAAAAGCGAATGACTTGGAAGCGGCGCACGGGGAACTCACAGGCGCTGCAAGTGTGCACTGGCATGATGTCGCGATGCTTTTCCACGGATCTGCACGTGCCTTTGTGAACTCGTAGTCGTAGTGCAATGGAGAGAAAGCACTGCCTGATTAGATTGCCCACCAAATGGAGGCACTGAGCCACCTGTTGCTTCCGGACGTTGCCGCTTCTGTGCGAAGCGTCGGGAACGATCGTATCCTTCCAACACAGGCAAAGCTTGCAGCTTTTCTGCCGCTCGGGTCCCGATCTCACCAGAAGCGTGTGAAGGTGATGACCACGCTGGCCTTCGACTCGCAATGGGCGTTGGCGGTTGCTTTTTTGAGCGAGATGGTCAGGCCGCTTTCTTTGGGGTGTGTGAGCGAACTTGACTCAAGCCCAGCGATCTGGTTGACAGCTGTGTTGCATCAAAAGAAGAATACAGGAGCGCACTGCAGATCACAGTCTTCCACGCCTCGGCGGCAGTGAAAGCCTGCCACCAGGCGGGACAGGTAGAGCGCGGAAGTCCGGCCTCTTGTAAACTTATTAGGGGTTAACAGGGAATATGGGAATATAAGGGAACGTTATGGATTGTAGGGCTTAATTAGGGTCTAGTGCACAATTAGTGTTAGTAGGGAATAAGGGAATATATAATATAGGGATAAGGGAAAAGGAAAATGGCAACTACTGCGTTATGATAGGGTACATATTGGGGTCATACTAGGGAATGCGGGAATGTATTTTGTAGGGATTACATAGGGATCACATTCCCCTGTTCCCTACTGACCACCAGTAAGTAAATAAAAGCCGCTTTGCTCAGATGGGGTAGCAGCCTTCCTACCCGACCGAAATTTCATAATTAGTCGCCATGATTGTCAATGGCACTGGCGCCACATTCCTGCTGCAGCTTGCGCTGCAGGCCTCTTGCTGGGTAATACAACCCCTATATAACCCCTATACAACCTCTGCATTAAGCCTAGATATATAGCACCCAATAAAGGATGACCTTGGCCTGGGTTGTTCCCATCGAGGTTGACAGAAAGCAGGTGCTGCCTCAAGTTCTTTGCGATCCTGGCCAGCAGGACAGCAAGCCACACCGACTGTTCCTGACATGTTGCCACAGCACGTCGCATCTTTTATGTTTGGTAGCGAAGTGGAGAAGCTGAAGCACGGCTATCCTAACAGAGTCCCTTGAGCCAGAGAGGCCGTAGCCGAGTACTGGGCCACGGGATTGGGGAGATGGACGGCAAGTGCTGGTTGCGCGGCATCCCATCGAAACGAGGTTGCTCGCGTTGCATGCACATTAGTTCTGATCAGATTGCAAGCTGTTTTAAGGCAAGCCAGCAGATAGGCGTAGAGCTTCAGCTGCGAGGATTTCTCTTACTGGACCTCGACCTGGGCGGCTGCTTTCACTGCACTCCAAGGTGAGCCTGCTTATGAGGACCCAGCAGTAAGAACTGCGGATGGAGTCTTCGTGTGGGATGCAGAGTATTGTTGCTCGTCCGCACCAGAAGCAACCTTTTTCCCAACGGTCACAGTGGGGTTGCTCGACTTTAAGAGGTCCATGTTCTTAAGTCTATGCTCTCCTCGCCCGCCCTGCAGTGCCCAACCCGCAGAGTCGCTCCAGTGCTCAACTGCAGAGTGTCCATGCAGTGCATAAACTTCGTCCATTCAGAAACTCGAAGTGGGAGTGCATAAAGCTGCTGATATTGTGGCGGGTTCGCTTCATGCTTGGACATCATCACAAGTTTTGTGCCGAAAAGGGGGGTTGTCGCGTTCCGCGCCGCAAGCC